ACAGTATTCTTTGTTGAAATTGCTTTTCCCTTAATACTTTGAATATATTTTCCCATCTTTCTTCACTCACATTGTTTCTGATGAGAGGTCTGCTATTATCCTGATAGGATATCCTTTGTAGGTAACTTGCTGTTTTTTCTCTTGCCAATCTTAGTATCTTGTCTTTGTCTGTGGTTTTGGTCAATCTGGCTATAATGTGTCTTGGAGAAGATCTTCTTGGGTTGCTTCTATTTGGGGTTTTTGTATTTCTTGGGACTGGATCTTTGAGTGCCACTCTAGGTTTGGAAGGTTTCTTCCAGGATTTCATGGAATAGATTGTCAATGCCCCTATGAGTCTCTTCACCTTCTGGGATACCAATTATCTGGATGTTTGGATGTTTGATGGTATCTAATATTTCTTGTATGTTATTCTCATTTTGGGGGGCAATTTTCTTAGTCTTTGTGGTGGATTTTTATAGGCCAGTAATTTTCTCTTCTACATCTGAGATTCTACTTTCTGTATGATCTAGTCTGCTTTTAATACTTTCAAGGGAGATTTTGACTTCCTGTATTATATCCTTCATCTCTAGCAGGTCCATTTGATTTTATTTTTTACTTTTTATTTTTTTAATTTTAAAATTTATTTTACACGTTCAATCACTATACATCACTATAACTTATAAAGTGAATTTACCCACATGATTATACTGCACACCAGTCCAGTTGAAGTTACCATACACTGTATCATCAACAGATAATCATCCATTTCTGTGTCCCATAAATGCCTTACCTCTCTATTTTTCTCCTTGATTCCCTTCCTCTCACTCTTCCCCTGCTCTCACTTTCTTCCCACACTATTTCCAGTATCCATAACCTTTTTCCATGCTTCTATATACCCTGATCTTTCAGTTTCCTACATAGAGTGTGAACAGTCCATATATATTAAGTGGAGGCATACAATGTCTCTCATTCATAAACTGGCTTACTTCACTTGGCAGTAAATCTTCTATATTTATCCACCTTCTGTCAAATGTCAGGGTTTTGTTTTTTTATGGCCGAGTAGTTTTCCACAGGGTATATATGCTATACTTTTTCTTTTCTTTTTTAATTTTTTCCATTTAATTTTCTTCCATACAGTCAATCACATTATTATTAGGCTTACAAAATGGATATTTCAACAGGTGAACATTTCTCCCTAGTACTGTTGATAAAACTACAAAATATCTTCTACAGATAATACCACACCTCTTTGTGCCATTAATGCTTTGCCTCCCTGTCCCTCCCCTAAAGGTCCTTCCTCAGGCCCTCCTCTTTCACACACACTGTATCTGGTATTTACATCTATATACTGCATTTCTATATCCTTTAGACAATTAGTTTCAGTCATAGAGTACAGACACTTGGTATATATTAAGTGGGGACATACAATACCTCTCCTTCATTGCATGGCTTGCTTCACTCAGCAGTAAGTGTGCAATTCCTCTTTCAGATCTTGTAAGAATTTCCTCACATCTTGGAATTCAGCAGCTCCTTTCTCTTGCCTCTTCTGTACTTCATTGTCTCTCTTCTCTTCCATCTCTGACAGCTTCATCATTATGTATATTCTAAATTCTTTATCAGACATTTCCATGATATTCATTGAACTGTCTGTGGATGAAGAGTATTCTTTTCCCTTGGAAGAAATGTATTTTCTTGCTTTCCCATATTTCTTGTGGCCCTGCAGTGATTTCTAGTCATCTGATGGATGGTTTATTTCCTTCTAATTCTCGAAGTTCAGTCTGAGCATTCAGGAGCGTGTAGAAGGAGGTGATCTAGAATCTCTTTGCTCTTCCGTTTTTATCCCTTTGTGCAGCAGATTCATTGGATGTTGGAGAATATGTTAACCCTAATAGTATTTGGATGTTTGGCTATGGTTCCCTTAGATTATCTAGGGACACAATGAATGGAGATTGAGGACCAGAGTAATGAGATAAAAGAAAAAGAACAGAAAACAGAGAGAGAGAGAAAAAAAGGCAAAACAAACAAACAAACAAACAAAAACAACCAGAGAGAAAAAGAAGGAAAATAGTTAAAAACAGCCAAAATTATTGTTTTTAAGAAAAGCAAAATATATAAAATCACACAGCATGCAAGCATGCTGTGCAAAATCACTAGTTCTCAGGAGCCATGGAGAAATCTTCCTCTGAAGGCATGCCTCTTACTTCTCCTGGGTAGGAGGCAGGAAGGGGATTATTAGCAAGATAAAGGTGGGACTGAAAGCTGAGAAAATACTTTACCTTAAAAATTTTTAAAAAGGAAAAATTACAAAAAAATGAGAAGACAGAGACAGAGGCAGAGAAAGACAGAGAGAAGGCTAGAGAGGCTCCCTACCACTTGAGTTTTTGGGCTGGAGACTGAATTATCAGTAGAAAATCTTCATTTCTTTTTCCTTGAAATCACTCCAGATACAGTAATTCTAAAACAATAGAAGTGTATTAAAAGAATAGCCACGTGTCCCCTCCTTCACATCTTTGCTACTTGTCACCTTCTGAAGGAAGGCAGGAAGCTGTTTTTGTGCACCTTCATCCTTCAAGTACCTAGAGCAGTGCCTAGAAAATAACTATTCGTTAATTGTTTGCTGAATGAATGAACAAACATGGTATCATTTGTGTTTATAAAACACAAGAGCAAACCATATATTCAGGGAGAGAATTTGCATAGGAAAAGGTCTGTCTAGAATCTTCTAAATGGACTTCCTTGTTGCTTCCTCAGTTGAGACTGGTGATTAGCAGAGTGTTAATGGGAATAGGCCCAGGACAGAGAGGGACTATTGAGACTACTAGCAGCCCTCACTCTCAGTGTGTGCTTGTGTGAACCTTACATTTTGCACCATTTGCTTCTCTCTGCCCCATACCGGTCCTTAAAGGATTCCTCTTTATTTTTAAATTATATGAATTTTAATTATAATCTAGTTGTTAAATTTGTAAAAGTTTAGAAGAATGAGAACAATAAAAATGTTATTTTTGAGACCCTTTGACATTACAAAGAAATTATCTTTATTTTTAATTTTTTATAAATTCAGAGTGTGTATGACTTGCCAACGAGAGGCAGAAAGACAGAGAGGGGTGGGGGGGGGAGAGGGAGAAAGCATCCCTGAATGGGGTGTGATCATGCCACAATCCCTTCTCCTTAATTTCTTCATCCTATTGGAACTTTGGATATCCATGCACACATGCCAAGTGTGTTTTTTAAACCTCCAAGGTTGGAATTAGAGCCATAGTCAGTCATGTGGGATTTAACTCTCTTAACTACAAGGCTACAGGGCCAGGCCTTATTCGTTGACTTGCCAAAGAGAGGCAGAAAGACCAGAGAGGGGTGGGGGGGGGAGAGGGAGAAAGCATCCCTGAATGGGGTGTGATCATGCCACAATCCCTTCTCCTTAATTTCTTCATCCTATTGGAACTTTGGATATCCATGCACACATGCCAAGTGTGTTTTTTAAACCTCCAAGGTTGGAATTAGAGCCATAGTCAGTCATGTGGGATTTAACTCTCTTAACTACAAGGCTACAGGGCCAGGCCTTATTCGTTTTCTGAATGAGAAATTAAGACTGATAAATTTATTCACTTTCCACATTCTTCATTGGACCTAAGTTACTCACTACTAAAATGCCTTCAGTGTTAATGAAAGCAAAGTCCACCCTTTTAGGTCTCAAATGTAGTTCATTGCACTGAACAGTAATACCGTAAGTCATAGCCAACATAACTATAAATGTAAAAGACTAAAACAGGAAAATGTTAGTACCAGCATAACCCTAAAGCTGTAGAAATATTTGTTTTTTGTTTTTATTTTTTGGTTCTGTCATAGGGTGAGTGTACTCACTGGAGAGACATAGAAATAGACAGAGAAAGGGAAAGTAAGAAATCACCTCCCCGGAGAGATTGGCCACACTGCAATCCTTTCTCCTCCATTCTCCTCTGTGAATTTCAGACATGCATACTTGTGTGTCCTGTGTGATTTTTCAAGCTTTTAGGTCCCAGACTTGAACCGCAGTCAGCTGTGTTAAAGTCCAACCCCTTGGGACCAGCAGTTGATGTAATGGCCATGTCACTGGACTCCCATGTAGTCAACCACGGTTTGAGTCTCGGACCTGGTGGCTTAACCTCATGCTGGGTGCATGTATGTGCGTGCCCAAGATCCTGAGAGGAGAATGGACGAGAAGGGATTGCAGTGTGGCCATCTCCCCTGAGGGGTGATGTCTCGCTTTCTGTCTCTCTGTCTCTGTCTTTCTAGCAAGCGCACACGCCTTGTAGCGAAAACCTCTCCAAAAAGAAAGTCCAGTACCTTAACCACCATGCCACCTACTGGCCTCTGTAGAAATATTTCTCTAAGTATTATAGTTTTCTTTTGTAATCTCAGATTCACTTTCTTCTTTTTTAAAATTTTTTATACATTCAATCACTGTATATCATTATAGCTTGCAAAATGAAATCCCAGCTTGAATATGCTGTATAGTATTCCAGTTAAAGATATTATCCTACCTGTTATCACCAACAGATCATTTTCCGTTTTTGTGTCCCTTAAGTATTTTACTTTCTTTTTCTCCTTTATTCCCTTCCTTTCATCTTCCCCATTTCTCGCCCTCTTCCCATACTGACTTTATTATCTGCAATTGTTCTTCATGCTTTTGTATCTTTCACTCTTTCAGTTTCGAGTATGGTCTCCTTAGTTTGACATACTTGATTTCTGGTTGTTCCTTTGTCACCACCAGCAAGGGGGCATGGGTACTTGCCTACAGTTCATGGGCAGGGGACTGTATACCACAGTGTTGGTGTCCGAGTAATTGACTCTTCTACCTCACCCAACTGACTGGTGGGGGAGTGCCTTAACACAGAGGTATCTGCCTCATTCAAGTGCAGGAAGGTAATCATCTCATTTCATACAAAGAATGAAGTTATAGAACTCAGTTGCTCATTTGGTTTTATAATGATGTAATCGTATTTCCGTGTGCTTATTATGATGGGCATTATGCTCTATTGCAGGAACATCAGGAGAACGTTGTGGGTAACACCATGCAAAGTGTGATTGCATTACTCAACAATCTGGTTGCCTGTAAAGATTCGAATATGAAGCTACTTTATGAACAAGGTTAGTGCTTCTTAGAATTAGTTTCCGATTTTGTTGAGTTTCACCTATTTGTAAGATTTCTCATCATACATAACAGGGAGACAAGAAATGTTATTTAAAGTCAGTGAGTTGAAATAGTTAGTTAAGAATATATAAGTAATAATGATATTACCAGCAAAAATTGGAAAGGAGGACAGATAGGAATAGTTATCCTAGATTTATTTATTCTCTTGATGGTACAAAGTCAGTTGGTATTGCTTAAAAATTATAAACCAAACAATGAAGTGTAAACATAGTATTGAGTTGTTGCTGCCAATCAAAATAAAAAGAGTTTTGGTTAAAAAAAGCACCTTGGAAAAGTGAAACTGGTTGGATTGAGAGTGGCTTTACGTCTTACATATATCTATATTGTTATAATTTTTAAAATCATGTACATGTTCCACATTTATATTAATAGAAGAAAGCTTTCATTAGAATTGGTCTCCAAAATAAGACTTGGACAGTGTCACTGAATATCAAAACTATCAAGTCATTGTTTTTTCCCCCTAAGAACTTTTTGTTCTATTTCTATGTGTTCATTATAGTTAAATGTTAGTAATACGTTTTTTCCTCCTGTAAGAAAAGTAAGTGCTTATTTAGAGTGATTGATATTGTCAGCAGTTATAGGGCTTTGGTACACAGAGATCTTTATTTATTTATACTGCAGTGTCCCCCTTTTCTACATTATGGAAATAGCATAATTTATTTAACTAGTACTCCAATAATGGATGTAGGCTCTTTTCAGTATGTTGCTGTTAATTTTCTGTAATGAGTAGCCTGATACGTGCATTCTGTCATGTGGGAGCTGGACTATCTATAGAATAAATTCCTGGGACTGGAATTGTGAGACCACAGGATACATACATTTGTGATTTTCATAGATATTGACAAGTTTCTGTAAAAGATGTGCCCGTTTTTATTTCTATCAAGCCACAGAAGACTTAGTTTTTAGATCTAAGAGCACATTATAGGTCCCTATTTATTCAAGGCTTTTTTGTGTTTTTCAGAGATGTTTTGCAGTTTTCTTTTTGTAGGTCTTCTACATTTTTTGTTAAGTTTATCTATTCCTAGAAATTTTATCTTTTTTTCTTATTATTAGAAATAAGGGGGACCAGCAGATGGCATAATGGTTATATTGCTGGACTCCCATGTAGTTGATCACAGTTTGAGTCCCAGACCTGGCAGCTTGACAGTCATGCTAAGCACTTGTGTGTGCATGTGTGCTCAAAATCCCAAGAGGAAAATGGAGGAGAAGGGATTGAGGTGTGGCCATTCTCCCGCAGAGCGATTTCTTACTTTCTGTCTCTCTGACTCTTTGGCGAGCACATGCGCCTCATAGCAAAAACAAAAACAAAACAAAACAAAACAAACCTCTCTTAAAAAAAAAAAAATGTAGGATCAGCAGGTGGCATATTGGTTAAGGTGTTGGACCCCCACATAGCCAACAGTGGTTTGACTCCTGAACCCATTGGCTTTAAGCTCACTCTGGGCACATGTGCATGTGTGCCCCAAATTCCAAGAGGACAATCAACAAAGGAATGTGGCATGGCCATCCCACCTGGGAGTGATTTCTCACTTTCTGTCTCTCTCTGTGTCTCCTGTGAGGACACATGTCCTATAACAAAAATCTCCCTCAAAAAACAAAAACAAAAACAAAAACAACCAAAGCAATAAAAAATTAAAAAAAAACAAAATAAACAAACAGAAATAAGATTTTCTCTGCCTTCTATCTTTTGATTTGTTTTTAAGAATATGTGTTTGAAAGATTCTGATTTCTGTATATTAAATTTTGTACTTAAGCTAATTTTGTTATTACTGTCCATAGTTGTTCTTAGATGATTCTCCTTATTTTCAAGTTATTAATTATAATAATTACAAATAATGATAGTTTTTCCCCAGTTTTTATAATGCCACTTTTTTCCTTCTTGTCTAATTACAAGACTAAAAGAGAATGAGATAGAGAATATCTTGATTTTCCTTCCAAATCTTATTTTTTACATAAGAAGGTACCTATCTATTTTTAATTTTATCTTCATTTTCTTTGGTAATCAAGAATAATGAATTTTGTCAGATGTTTTCTGGGCTCTATAGAAATAATCAAATTATTTTTTTCTTGAATCTGTTCATGTAATGAATTATTTTTAATAGATTACCTATCCTGTTTTTAATATTAAACCTACCCTAGTCTTTATTTCAGAAACAACACTCAATTCTGATAAAGTGTATATTTTTAATTGTGTTATTTAAATTCTTTGCTAATATTTTATTTGAGACTTTTTCATTAGCATTCATAAGTCTGAGTAGTTTAAAATTCTGTTTGTTTTTGAATGGGCAATACATTTCCTGGCAGATGATGAGGCTAATTTATTTTTTTTATTTAAGAAAACAAAAAGAAAGTTTTTTGTTTTGATTTGTTTTGCTTTTTTTCTCTCTTCTTATGCTTCTGGAATCGTCCAGGTACATTGTCATGATCTATTCCCTAAAAATTTGGAAGGATTGATTTTCTGTGGGGCCATGTGGGTGGAGCTGTTTCTTAGAGGTATGATAGTAGTGTAGCTCTTTGGTACCTTTCTCTTTTTCTAGACTGGTAATTACATTTTTCCCCATGTCTTGTAGAGTCAATTTTAGTAATTTACATTTTCTTAGGAAGTTCTCATTTTACATAAACTTTCAAGTTTATTTTGATAGAGTTGGACAAAATAGAGTCTCCTAATTATTTATTTCCATAGGTTTGAGAATTTTCTCCCTAGTACCACTTCTTTTTTAAAATTTAATTTATTATTATTATTATTTTAATTTGCTATATGGCATGTACACTCACTAGAAAGTGACAGAGACAGAGACACAAATATATTCTAGGTCCAAGAGATAACATGGACACACTATATGAAGAAGTATAGAATCTCAGCAAAGAAATGGAATTTTTATAAAAATACAAACAACAATGACAAAACAAACAAAAGTCTAGAACTAAACAATTATAATTTAAAATGAAAGTTTCTCTGTCTTGTGCTAGCTAATAAACATGTTAAAACTTTAAAGTTAGGAATAGTTAACTTGTAAAATTAATAGTAATTTTTCATCTGAAGAATAAAAAGGAAAAAATATATTTTTAAAAAGAAAAGAACATCAGCAGGGTCTGGGACAATATATTCTAATATATTCGTAGTTGGGATTCCAGAAACAGAGGAGACAGAATATGGAAGAAATATAATTTTAAAAAATAGTGGCAAAAGAATTCCCTAATTTGGTGAAAAATATTTGTCTGCAGATTCAAAAGGCTCAGAAAAAAACGCTAGCAAGATTAAAAAACAAACAAGCAAAAATCTCTTGAGCACATAGTCAAACTCCTGAAAACTGAAGATAAAATCTTGAAAGTATTATGATAATTGATACATTACATAAAGGGGAGATCAGTAATAAAAATGATGGCTAAATTTTTCTCAGAAACAATGGAGACCAGACAGAAAACCAACCCCCCCAAATTGCCAGAGGACATGTGTTCTTGCGTGTGTGTGTGTGTGTGTGTGTGTGTGTGAGAGAGAGAGAGAGAGAGATGAGGGAGAGAGTGAGAAAGCACCCCCCAATGGGGCATGGTCATGTCACAATCCTTATTTCTTCATTTTGGGCATGTATGCTGGGCCTGGGATTTGACCTGCCACCAGCCATGCGAGATCTAGTTTTATATACACAGTGCTTAATCACTGAGTGACAGGGCTGTCCAGAAAAACATCTTTAAAGTGCTTACAGAATAAAAGCTGTCAACCTAAATTTTTGTATTTAGTGAAAATATTCCTTAAAAATGAAATTGAAATAGGACATTTCACATTAATGAAAGCTAAGAAAATGTGTTGCTAGCAGACCCACCTTACAAGAAATGTTGTAACATTTTTCAGGCTAAAGGAAAGTGATACCAGATGAAATACTCAGACTCAAATATATAGAAAGAAATAGCATATAAGAGAAATAAAAATATATGGTTGAATATAAAAGAATATCTTTTAAATTTTTCTATAAAATTTTATAAAAGAAAATGGTCTACGCAGGCTTCTGTGTGAGAGAGAGAGAGAGAGAGATGAGGGAGAGAGTGAGAAAGCACCCCCCAATGGGGCATGGTCATGTCACAATCCTTATTTCTTCATTTTGGGCATGTATGCTGGGCCTGGGATTTGACCTGCCACCAGCCATGCGAGATCTAGTTTTATATACACAGTGCTTAATCACTGAGTGACAGGGCTGTCCAGAAAAACATCTTTAAAGTGCTTACAGAATAAAAGCTGTCAACCTAAATTTTTGTATTTAGTGAAAATATTCCTTAAAAATGAAATTGAAATAGGACATTTCACATTAATGAAAGCTAAGAAAATGTGTTGCTAGCAGACCCACCTTACAAGAAATGTTGTAACATTTTTCAGGCTAAAGGAAAGTGATACCAGATGAAATACTCAGACTCAAATATATAGAAAGAAATAGCATATAAGAGAAATAAAAATATATGGTTGAATATAAAAGAATATCTTTTAAATTTTTCTATAAAATTTTATAAAAGAAAATGGTCTACGCAGGCTTCTAGGAAGTTGAGCTGAGGACCTTCACAAACTCACCCTCCTATAAAAACAATAAACATTGTTGAAAACATCTAAAAAGCAACTTCCAGAATTCTATAAGATAGTAAATCATCTCAGGTGTGCAAAAATATATGAAATATTTACTTAAGAAAAGCTGATGAATCTCAGTAAGAACAGCGGGGGTGTGATGTTGTAGCTTAATCTACTTCCATCCTGCATTTCTCACCTATATGGTAACCTTAAAAACCTAATCCGCAAACTCATAAACACTATAGCTATGAAACCAGTATGCTTGCAGCCCCTAGAATTAATTAATTGGGTTTTTAACTTCTCAAAAATTACCATTTTTTTAGAGCATTGACACAATTGGATGTGCTTCATACCTCCCTGGTGGGAAATATTCATAGGCATTGT